CTCAACTGGCACAGGCACTGTGGGAACACCTGGACTCTCCTTGGCCACTTTATGGGAGAACCAAGCCTAAGTTCCTGGAAATCACCGTGCCCTTTAGACTGGGACAGTGTCATTCCTGCAACAGACCTTCCCGAGCTCTGGCTCTGCAGAGAAACTGTAGGAAGTGCTGGCAGCTCAGAGAACAGAGACCCAGCGTCTCATCTGCATCCCTGGGGTGCACGGGAGGGGCAGAGCGGACGTGCAGACACGACCAGGCACCCACACAGCCACACGACAGCAAAGCAATGGCTGAGGAAGGAGGAAAAGAAGGAAACCAGGCCTGAGCAGTCATCAGGGGCTGCTGCAGACCAGTGATGGTCCCACAGCAAGGTCACCTACCACGTCCTGCTGCTTCACCCCTCCCCCACCCTCAAGCCATCAGGAAAGAATCCAGAGCAGAAGGGAGCCTGAGTGTGACATTCCATAACCTCAGGATTGCTGGGACCCAACAAATCCAGAGTGAACCTGTCTTAGAAACGATGAATTTTGGGGCAGGTGCTGTGTGGCACAACAGGTGAAGCCACTGCCTGCAAGGCTGGCATCCCATATGGCCACCGGTTCAAACCCTGGCTGCTCCACTTTCGATTTGGCTCCCTGCTACTTCACCTGGGAAAGCAGTGGAGGATGACCCAAGTCCTTGGGACCCTGCATGCCTGTGGTAAACCCAGAAGAAGCTCCTGGCTCCTGGCTTCAGCCTGGTCCAGACCTGGCCATTGTCACCATTTGGGGAAGGAAACAGCAGATGGAAGACCTCACTATCTGTCTCTCTCTCTCTCTCTGTAACTCTACCTTTCAAATAAAGAAAATAAATCTTTAAAAAAAGAAAAAAATCCAAAGTCAGCATCCTATGGATAGTAAAAGGACAGTAAGGGAGTATTATGAACAACTCTAATCCTACAGGAAATGGATCAATTCCTGGAAGGATACCATCTACAAATCACATAAGAAAAAAATTGTCTGAATATAAAGAAATTACTAAAGAAATTCAGTCAGTAATGAATGAAGTTTGAAAACAGAAGCATCAGACATACATAAGCTCCCTGGGAAACTATACCAAACATTTAAGGGACAAGTTATACCAATTCTGTACAGCATTTTCCATAAAACAGAACTAATTCTTTGAGGCCAGTATTACCTTAATAATAAAACCAAACTCATTACAGGAAAACTAAGTCTTATAGATGCAAAAATCTTCAACAAAATATTGGTAAACTGAGGGGCAGGTCTTTATGGTAGAGAGTTTAGCCACCACTTACACCTGCATCCTGCCGGCTCCGCAGCCCACTAGGCTAATCCTCCACCTGCGGTGCCAGCATCCCATATGGGCTCCAGGTTCGAGTCCCGGTTGCTCCTCTTCCAGTCCAGCTCTCTGCTGTGGCCCAGGAAGGCAGTGGAGGATGGCCCAAGTGCTTGGGCCCTGCACCCGCATGGGAGACTAGGAGGAAGCACCTGGCTCCTGGCTTCGGATTGGCGCAGCGCACTGGCCGTGACGGCCATTGGAGGGGGGAACCAATGGAAAAGGAAGACCTTTCTCTCTGTCTCTCTCTCTCTCACTAACTCTGCCTGTCAAAAAAAAAAAAAAAAAGACGCCTGCATCCCACAATGGAGTTCTGGTTTGAGTCATGGCTACTCCACTTCAGATCCAGTCTCCTGCTGATGTGCACACTGGCAGACAGCAGATAATGGCTCAAGTACTTGAGTCCTTGCCACCCATGTGGGAGGCCCTGACAGAGTTCCAGGCTCCTGGCTTTGGCCTGGTCCGGTCTTGGCTGTGGCAGGCAGCTGGGGAGTGAACCAGTCGATGGAAGACACCTTTCTCTCACTGTCTCTCTCTCTGCCTTTGGAATTTAAAAAATATATATATAAAAATATATTAGTAAATGAATGCAATTATGTAACAAAAAGAAATATACCAGCCGGCACCGTGGCTCACTAAGCTAATCCTCTGCCTTGCGGCGCCAGCACACCGGGTTCTAGTCCCGGTTGGGGCGCTGGATTCTGTCCTGGTTGCCCCTCTTCCAGGCCAGCTCTCTGCTGTGGCCCAGGAGTGCAGTGGAGGATGGCCCAAGTACTTGGGCCCTGCACCCCATGGGAGACCAGGAGAAGCACCTGGCTCCTGCCTTCAGATCAGCGTGGTGCACCGGCCGCAGTGCGCCTGCCGCGGTGGCCACTGGAGGGTGAACCAACGGCAAAAGGAAGACCTTGATCTCTCTCTCTCACTGTCCACTCTGCCTGTCAAAAAAATAAAATAAAATAAAATAAAAAAATAATAATAAAAGAGAAAAAAATATACCACCACCTCATAGGATTTATCCCAAGCGTAAAAGGATAGTTCAATATTAGAGAATTGACATAATCTCTCATAATAGACTAAAGAAAACAAATCCTATGAATACATTGATAGAGAAAAAAGCATTTGAGAAAATCCAATAATAATTCATTACAAAAACTCAGGTAGAAATAGAAGAAAACTTCCTCAACTTGATAAAGAACATCTATAAGAAATCTATGGCTACCATATTTAATCTTGAGAAACTAAGTGGTTTTCCCCAAGATCAGGAACAGGCAAGGATAACTTCCATCAGTCTGGAAGTCTGAGCTAACATAATAAGAAAAGAAAATTTTAAAATATAGATTAGGAAGGAAGAAATTATCTTCCTTCACAGGCAATTTTAACTCTAAACTGAGAAATGTAAAACGAAGGAGGTAACATAAGAAAAAAATGGATGGCCCCAGCCTGCAGCACTGTCATCCCATATGGGCACTGGTTCGAGTCCCAGCTGCTCCGCTTCTGATCCAGCTTCCTGCTAATGCGCCTGGGAAAGCAGTAGAAGATGTAGAAGCAGTAGAAGATGGCCCAAGTCCTTGGGCCCCTGCACCCACATGGGAGACCCAGAAGAAGCTCCTGACTCCTGGCTTCAGATTGGCTCAGCTGTGGCCATTGTGGCCATTTGAGGAATGAACCAGCAGATGGAAGACCTCTCTCTATCTCTAAAAAATAAATATTTAAAAAAATAAAAAATGGATGTGGCCTTGGGTTTAGCAATGACTTTTTAGATAATAACACCAAAAGCATGATCTATGAAAGAAAAAAAAATCAGTATGTTGTACTTCACTAAAATGAGAAATACTCTCTGCAAAAGATACTGTTAAGGAACAAACAAGTGACAGACTTGAAGAAAATCTTTGAAAAGCATATCTGATAAAGGACAGGTATCTAAAACATGAAAAACCTGAAAACTCAACAATAAGAAAACTCAGTTAAATATGGGCAAAGAATTTGAACAGGTATCTCCAAAAATGATAGCTGGCAGATAGGTTTATGAAAAGATGCTTATGTCATATAATTGGTATTCCAAGTACATAAAAATGTCATGCCATTGCCACTCTATTAGGATGGCAAAAATCTGACATCAAATGCTAGCAAGGATGTGGGTTAGCAAAACTCTCTATTTATCGCTGGTGGTGATGCAACATGGTGTACAGCCACTTTGGAAAACAGTTTAGCAGCATCATACAAAACTAAGCATTCTTTCCACACGATCCAGTAATGCTGCTCATTGGTATATATCCAGAAGTGCTGAAAACCTGACCACACAAAAGCCTACATAAAAAGCTTACAACAGCTTTATTCAGACTACCAAAACTTGGAAGTAACCATGATATCTCTGACAGGTGAATAGATTAAAATTAAAAAAAAAAAAAAAGAAGAAGAAGAAGAAGAAGGGGGCCAACCCTGTGGTGTAGTGAGTAAAGCCGTCGCCGGTAGTGCCAGCATCCTGTATGGGTGCCAGTTTGAGTCCTGGCTGTTCCACTTCCAATCCAGCTCTCTGCTATGGCCTGGGAAAGCAGTAGAAGATGGCCCAAATCTTTGGGCCCCTGCACCCACGTGGGAGACCCGGAAGAAGCCCCTAGCTGCTGGCTTTGGGTCGGTGCAGCTCTCACTGTTGCAGCCACCTGGGAAGTGAACAAGCAGATGGAAGACTCTCTCTCTCTCTCTCTCTCTCTCTCTCTCTCTCTTTCTCTCTCTCTCTCTAACTCTGCCTTTCAAATTAATAAAGAAATAAATCTTAAAAAAAAAAAAAAGATACCTGTGGCATTTCCACACAATGGGAAGAGCGTAGGAGCCATTTTCAAGCCATGGGAATATGTTTAAAAGCAAATTGCTAAGTGAAAGGAAGTCAATCTGAAAAGTCTGCCGACCATGTAATTCCTATTAGAAAAAACACTCTGGAAAAGCAAAGCATGGAGAAGATCGGTGATTGTCAGGAGTTCCGGGCACTGAGGGGGAAGAAGAGACAATTTGTAGGGCAGTGAACCTATTCTGTGATAATGGACACCATCTTTATCCCTTGTCAGAACCTGTAGAGGTATAACACAAAAGTGAATCACAGAGCTGGCACTGTGGTGTAGCAGGTGAAGCCGCCGCCTGCAGTGCCGGTATCCGATGGGGCACCAGTTTGAATCCCAGCTGCTCCACTTCCAATCCAGCTCTCTGCTATGGCCTGGGAAAGCAGCAGAGGATGGCCCAAGTCCTTGGGCCCCTGCACCCACGTGGGAGACCCGGAAAAAGCTCCTGGCTCCTGGCTTTGGATTGGCCCAGCTCCAGCCATAGCGGCCGTGTGGGGAGTGAACAGCAGATGGAAGACTTTGCTTTCTCTGTGCCTCTGCCTCCGCCTTTCAAGTGAATCATAATGTGTACTATGAACTTTAGTTTATAATGTACCAATAGTTTCACCAGTTATGACAAATAATATCACACACTTATGCAAGATGTATATAACAGGGGAACTTGGTGGGAGGAATATAATATGGGAATTCCCTATACTTTTTAGTTAATATTTTTATAAACCTAAAGATGCTCGAAAAATTAAGCTTATTACTTAAAAGGAAACAGGATTTTATATTGATTATATGTTGAATGGTAATATTTTGGATATACTGGATTAATGTTCTCATAGCACGAAAGCTAATAATCATCTGTTTTCATTTTTTGAGCATAGTTCCTGGAAAAACAGAAATGGCACCTGTGAATGCACTCGATCTTTGTTATCAGTGCTGCGCTGGAACCAGGTTCTTGCAGCTGCAGGGTACTCTGCCGCCCAGGTCTCTACTTGTCTCTGCTTCCTGGCCCTCCACTTTGGGGTCATTTCTTGAGTGTTGCTTTTTAATGTCCTGTTAACACATCATAGTTCCTTATTTGTTTTAGGTAAGTCATCAGATCTCCATAGTCCAGCCTCCTGCATCCATCCATCTGTGTGGCACTCTGGCTAGCAACAACTCTGATTGGGTCACTGCTTGGCTGATCTCTTAGGAGTGTCTCCCACATTTCTGCTCAGATCACATACCCAGTTCACTTCAAGAAGCACTTCTTCCAGGAAGTCCTCCTTGTTCAATTCTACCACACAATAACGTCTCCTGATCTTTGGTTTCCCTCAGTAGTTAGCATCCCAAGTGTATCACACACATTTCTGGCCTCCCTGCTGGGCTGTAGGCTCAGAAAGGTAAGGACTGTTTCCACTCTGACGCGCCAAGGTTAGCTAAGATGGCACGCGCTGCAGATCCTGTGGACGTCTCCCTCTTAGCTTCTGTGTGGCCCTGAACACGTCACTTAACTCTCTTAGCCAAATAGTCCCCATGTGTGAACTGGGATAACAACAGTATTACCTCATAGGATTTTTTTTAAAGATTTTATTTATTTGAAAGCTAGAGTTACATGAGAGGTGGGTGCAGGAGCCCAAGTACTTGGGCCATCCTCTGCTGCTTTCCCAGCTGCCTTAGCAGGGAGCTGGATCAGAAGAGCAGTCAGAACTCGAACCAGAGCCAGATGGTGGCTTAACCTGCTGTGCCATAATGCTGGGCCCCTCTTAGGATTGTTGAAGATCAGTGTTTTGTGTTCAGATACTATAAGAGGCAGTTTTATTTTATCTACTTAAATTTGTTCTCGGGGCTGGCGCTGTGGCGCAGCCAGTAACAGTTGTGGCCTGCAGTGCCAGCATCCCATATGGGCACCAGTTCGAGTCCTGGTTGCTCCTCTTCCAATCCAGCTCTCTGCTATGGCCTGGAAAAGCAGTAGAGATGGCCCTAGTCCTTGGGCCCCTGTACCCGCGTGGGAGACCCAGAAGAAGCTCCTGGTTCCTGGCTTCAGATTGGCGCAGCTCCAGCAGTTGCAGCCATTTGGGGAGTGAACCAGCAGGTGGAAGACACCTCTCTCTCTCTCTCTGTGCCCCTCCTTCTCTGTGTAATTCTGACTTTAAAATAAATAAATCTTTTTTAAAATAAATTTGTTCTCAGACTCCTACACAATGGATACAGCAGGCGAGGTGCTATTTCCAATGCCAGAGGTCACTCTGTGAATAAATTGTCCAGTTCATTTCAGGCTGTTTAAATGAGAAGTGGTTAACAGCACTTTGCCTGCAGGAACCATCATCTAACTAGTCCACGACTTCTTAAGGATCAAAGTTAGGTGCATGAGATACTCATTAGCAGTCACTTCTGTGTTTATTACAGTCAACTGTAATAAACAACTCAGGTCAAATTCCAGAGTCGCTCATGATTTGTTTCGACCTGATTTACTATCAGAACGTTTCCTGGTTTATGTCCCTGAACTCATATTCATTTTATTCCCTCCCTTTCTCTTATCAGGAAAGAGAAACAGTTTACAATGTGGAAAGCTCACTCAGAATTGCATTATTTTCCTTTAAAAAAAAAAAAAGACTTCTAAAACCCTTTCCTCACATGAGAATAAACGAGACACTGCCCTCTGGCCCTGCACACAGCACTTGCCACATGGTCAGTGGGCGTAAGGGACGTGGGTAGTGCAATGTCATCAGGTCACAGATGCGGGCAGGATTTGGCTGAGTTAGCACTGTGAGTGTGACATCTGGGTGGTATGACTTAGTATTTTTTTTTAACCACTTTAACCATTTATGTGTAGAGGTCACTGGCATTAAATTCACATTTTTGTATGATTACCACACCATCTATCTTCAGAACTTTTTCATCTTTGCAAAGTGAAACTTTTATGCCTATTAAACAGCAAGTCCTCATTGCCCCTCCACTAGCCTGGCAACCACCAGTCTATCCCTAAGCTACTTGCACTCATTCTGCTTTCACTTGATAAAAAACAGGGTCCACTGCAGATGCAGGGATTGCTGCTATACAGGCAAGCCTTCTTGTGTGGGGGTGATTGAGTTCATTGTAGATAAAGGTAAGAGAAAATGGGGTTTGAGAAAGGTGAGACGTGGAGGCACAAATTGCATGAAGGGTTCATCCTGAGCCTTCTGGCCACAAGCCTCAGCAGCCCTGCCAAGGATCCGCTCAATTCTTCCGCATCAAGAAGTTGATCTTTCGAGTCATTTCCATGTTATAGATGCGCCTGCAGGTTCCATAACTTACCCGCTGTCGCCGGCGGCAAGGCTTCTCATAGTATCGCCATCGCTTAATGCCCTCAATGAGCCCGTCCATAGTGAGGATCCTGTTTAGGGTCCTGTATGCGCCTTCCACATTTCCATCCTGCACCATCACAGTCCTGGCGGTGAACTTCAGATGTTTCGCCATGACCTTACATTTAACTCCTCGCTTTGCCATGACTTAGTATTTTTAAATGATACCATGTTTGCTTTGGAGAGCCAGTGAATACTAACGTGTAGACTGAAATTTAATTCAGTGCTTTGGTATTAAAACCATTTTCATAACCTGATACTTGAAATTCTTTGATTTTTTTCAAAGTATAAGCATATATGTATTTTTTAAAAAAGATTCATTTATTTATTTGAAAGGCAGAGTTACAGAGAGGCAGAGGCAGACAGAGAAAGGAGGAGAGAGGGAGAGAGATCTTCCATCCTCTGGTTCACTCCCCAGATGGTCACAATGGCTGGAGCTGAGCTGATCCAAACCAGGAGCCAGGAGCTTCTCCCTGGCCTCCCATGTGGATTCAAGGGTCCAAAGACTTGGGCCATCTTCTACTGCTTTCCCAGGCCATAGCAGAGAGCTGGATCAGAAGAGCAGCCGGGACTGGAAGTGGTGCCCATATGGGATGCCGGCACTGCAGGCGGCAGCTTTACCCACTATGTCACAGTGCTGGCTCCCCTATTTACTTCTACAACTTATTTTATTTGGGGATGATGTGAGCTTAGGGCTAAAGTTTCAAGCACTTCTTTGTACACGGCGCATTTTGGGGAGGACAGATTTAATTTCTAGTAATAAGCCAGGTCATAATTAATCACCATATTTTCTTCTCTTCACATTTTTTTAAAAGAACTAGAGACAACCCAGTGGGTTATATGATGGCTTTGGGCGAATGTGGTTTACATACACGGTGACAAGTGTCTTGAATATCAGAAAGCATATCTTCATTAGTTTGTATTTCAACACTGGTTTATTGTCTGCTTCCCTATCACCTGCTGAGCAGTTAGGAACATAGCTAGCATGTGACCAGAGGTCTGCTAAATTGGAGTAAGGCTCAAACTCTCCATTGTTAGCAGTAGGATCTGGCTGAGTGCCACACCAGCTGAGGATGAGACAGACCACATTCACCCAGTCTCCTCCACCCAACAGGGATCGTGCCCTAAAGGATGCTTCTTCTGACTGCAATGAGACAGGCGCATCTGTGAAACCAGACCCTTCCGGTTCCTGCCTGCGGCCATGCAGCCCTGGTTCCATGTTACCTGCCAACCCGACTATGAGTTCAGACCACCTCAGTGTTCTCAGTCTGCACCAGTGATGATGCACAGACACGCTTGTGACTGCTCCGGTTGCCTTAGAAATCAAGGCAAGGCACGCTGAGGGGCCAACAGGAGACAGCTACAAGTAGGAAGGAGAGCAGAAACTTTCATGGCTGGCAACCAGCACCTGGCAGGATACAGAACGAGAATTAGCACCTGGTGAGCTGCTGGGGAGAGCAGATGCTGTGTATAAAGCTGGCCACTGACAGGGCAATGGCTAAAGACAGAGCCAGAGGCTACGGGGAGAGGGTATAGCCGGGACCTATCAAAGAAGCAAAGACAAGTGCGGGCCCCACTCTCCCAAACTCCCTTGCTGATGGACTCACAGTGGCTGGACCTGAGTCCAGCAAAACAGCAAGTGTTATTTTCCTTCTACTTTATTTTTTAAAGATTTATTTATTTGGAAGGCAGAGCGACAGAGGGAAAGAGACAGAGATCTTCCATCCAATGGTTCATTCCCCAGGAGGCAGCCAGGAACCTAGAACTAACCCGGTCTCCCACATGGGTGACAGGGAGCCAGGGACTTGAGCCATCATGTGCTGCTTTTCCAGGTGCATTAGCAGGAAGCTGGATGGGAAGCTGAGCAGCCGGGATTCAAAACCAGCAGTTAGGTAAGGGAAGCGGATGGTCGTAAGCAGCAGCTGAAGCCACAGTGTCAGAGAACCAGCCACCTTCCCTGCATTTTAATGCTCCATCCGGGAGCAGACTAGCACGGGGCTGAAAATGCTGTGCCCTGAAGCGACACGGGCAGGCATCCTGCCTCTGAGACGAGCACTGGGCCTTGAGTAAGACATTCAACCTCCCTTGGCTTCAGTTCTTTTTGCCATGAAATGGATAAACCTCATAAGGCTTGGAAGATTAAATAAACCATTTAAGTTCACAGCAAACTGCCTAGTGTATAATAAACTCAACAAACATTGCTATGGAAACTAAGAACATCAGAAAAGAGAAATATGGGTCTGTCTTTTTAAGAAAACTAACATTACTTAAAAAACAAATAGACTTTTTTCCACTTCTGTGTTATATAATCCTTCTCATTTGTTGCTAAGAGAAGCCAGAGAAAACAGAATATTTATAACACAGGTTGCTAAACATAGAAACTGTTTGCTAACTAATCAGACGAACAAATAAGGTCTCCAGGACACCTAAAAGTGACTGTGCCCTATCTTAAGTGACAGATCTCTATGTGTTATGTTTTTGCACTACAAATTTTTAAAGCATCTCTTAAGATTTTTATTATCTATTTACAAATGTAAAACTGGCAAGAATCATGAAACATTTCAATAGCTGCTGCTGGAAATGAATGACAGCTTATAAACTACACTCATGACTGGTGACTTTACACACTTTAGACTTACCAACTTTGAAACCTTTTCTCATCAAACCCAAGTTCTCTGTTGCAACTCGGCCTCTCCCCCTACTGTTAAAGGTGCTTCTGACAGTCTGAACCTCAAACATAAGGTGGCCTTTTGTTTCCACTTTTATCAATCTGCATTCCTTCCTTGCCTCGGGGAAAGACAGAAAGCTAACCGATCATAGGATCCTGCTTGCAAGGCACAGGAAAATGCCTTCCGCCATGTGAAAGTGGGCCCCCAATGAACACTCAGATTCAGTTCATACAGGGCATGTTTGCGGCTGCCCTTCTCCAAACTCTAGTGTAATTTCTCTCTCTGATCTAGACTGGCCTGGGCCAAGCACACTCAAGACCCTCGGATTGCAATGGGCTCCCAGTCCCCACTAGAGAAGATGGAGGTGAGGAAGTACACTCGGCATCAATGCAGGAGCTAACAATGGGGTCGTAAGGAGTCCCTCAGCAAAGTACAGAGGCTAGAGTGGTTCGCGGCAGAGCGCTTGGCCTGCCAAATGTAGTGTAGCATTTGGCTCAGCGGGCACCAGCAGAGATGGCAGGACAGCACTGAACAGACTAAGCATGGCCTGTCCCTCCTAGGGCTCAGGCTAGTGAGCAGCACTGTTACACAACAGTTGGCACAGAGTAGGCGAAGCGCCGTGAAAGACGGGGGTTTCATCTGAAAGCATATGTGGATGGTCCAAGGAGATGACAGCCGAAATCTAAAACCAGTACACGCAAGCACCATGGAGCTGCTGGCGCGTGTGCGTGTGCGTGTGCGTGTGCGTGGAGCAGATAGAAGGGCAGAAGACACGCAGGTGGCAGAGAACACGGAGCTGAGGAAAAGCTAGCATGGCTAGAGCAGAGGGAGCTGTCTGGCGAGGTCATCAGGCCGGGCCACGGACACCACGCGGGGACTGGGGGTTTTCTCCTGTGAGCAATGGGGCAGGAGAGGGGCACGCTTGGATGTATGCACCAAGAAGATCACTCTGGCTGCAGTGATTGGTCTGGTGGGCATCAGGACAGAGGAGTCAAGTGTGGATTCAGGGAACAAGTTCAGCTAGGCTGCTGCCTGAGGGTGGGGTGCACCACAGACAGGAGGGGTACCCTGAACTTAGGAGTAAAGGGCTGGGAAGGGGAAACTGAAGGAAGCAGCAGCGGGCGTGTCCACTGGGCAGCATCCAGGTCTGAAGTGGAGAGGCGAGGGCAGGGCAGTGCCGTGGCCGCGTGCCTTGCCTGTCTCCTTCACCCCATCCCCACTCTGGCGCTGTGCCTGACACATGACAGGCCACCACGTGGAAACACAGAGCATGAATGTGACAGAGCTCTACCTTAAGTCACTCCTTTCTCTGCTATACTTTCCTGTGTTACATTTAAAACACAAACCAAGGCAGATGAAGGAGTGGCCATGAGGTAGAAAGAGAACTGGGACATTCAGTCACTCAGGAATATTCAGACGATGGCTAGGACAGTCAGAGTGGGGGAGGAGCGAGGTGTAACCTTAGTCACCAGAAGGGAGGGTGGAATGGTGGCCTCTGCTCAGTGCTGCTGAGATCAGCTGTGACAGTAGCAGAGGTGGGGCCTCTGAATTTCTACCAGAGATCCCTGGGGACCTAGACAGGCACTGTCTCAGAGAAGTGGAGGGGACAGAAACCCAGCTCAGGTGGACCGAGGAGAAAGCACAGGGTGGGAACATGGGAGGGATCACAGGACGACTTCAGCATATGCTGTGGAGAAAGCAGGAGCGGAGCAGAAGCCAGAGGTGCAGGTGCAGCAGGGGCCATTTTCCATCCAGACGGTGCTTCAAAAAGTTTGTAGAAAATAGAATTAAAAGATAAGTTGATTTTGGTGCAAAACATTTTTGGAATGCACACCTAGTTTTTTCACAGTACACGTTTTCCAGGAACTTTTTGAGGATTCCTTGTACTGGAGCCTATTTTTGTGCTGATGGGAGTGACCCAGTAGAGGGGAGAGTCTGGTGGGGCAGCAAAGGGAATTTAACAATCACAGACCTGAAGTTCTCAAGCGCAGATGGAAGAGTGCAGCGTTGGTAGGCAAGAGGGGACGGGTGCCAGGGGGCCGTGAAGTCAGTGGAGGAGGAGGTGCTCCTGTCTTCCTGTTTTCTGTGGAAGTCTGAGGCAGAGTGGTCAGACAGGAGAGGACACTGGGCGCGCACACGGAGGTGTTAGAAGACGGGGAACAGCGGAGAGACCAGGAGCCATGGGCTGCGAGAGCAGGGCAGGCCCCTTGAGATGCAGACCTTGGAACTAGCATAAAGGACACCCGACTTAAAATGTTCCAGGTTCTCCCTCTGACGAGAGTTTAGGTGGTGTCCACTCTACAGCAGTGAGAAAACTGCTGGTCCATGAGCTTCACCAGAATGGAACACTTGATAAACGTCAGGCCATCTCTTTTGATTCCTGGTCTGCTAAAGCAGAGGCATACTACTATCAAGAGCACCAAAAAATGATGGCGCAAGAAGCATGCAAATACGAAGTGGCCCCCACGTGGGAAACTAGACCCGAGGAGGAAGAGGAGAGGGCAGGAGCTGCTGAGACGTGGCACCACGCCGTGCCCGAGGGAACCAGCCAGAGAGAAACAGCCCGCGCCGAGCGCGCACGGGGCCTCAGCGACCACAGAGAATCCTCAGTGAGATTCTGTCCCCCAAAGCAGTAACACTAGAGAAGGGTGAGTATCCTGAAAACACACAAGCCTGACCCCAGAAAACACAAGGTAGCACGGGCCAAGGAACATCAGGACAGAATGATCCGAGGGCGAGAGCTCACCGGGCAGAGGCAGGGTCCCAGGGACGCTCGGCTGCTCCCGAGCCACACCTCTCCTCCCCCAGGTCCCCAGGGGAGAGCTGGGCGCAAGAGCTTGAGTGGGTCACCAGGAAGCACTCATAGAAGTGCCCGTTCTAATGAAAAAATCAAAAGAGGAGAAAATTAAAACACTCCGAAGGGAGGTCCTGAGTATGCCACCATTTCTGAGAAGTCAACTAGAAAAAAATTAAGTTAACGTTCTTGATTTTTAAGACTAGCATACTTGTCATTAAGCCATTAGTGCAGTGAAATCATATGCCTCTTTATGTCTATCAAACTGGCACTAAGAGACATAAATGAAGAGAACCACACAACAAACCAACAACAACCAAGTTAAACCACAAGCCGGAGCGTCTCGGCTGCTGTGTCACTACCCCAAAACTTAGTAACTTAGAATAACCAGCGCCTTATGTCAGGAACGCAAAGCTGAGCAGTTCTGCCCACAGAGCACCGAGGGCTGCGTGGGTATATCTGGACGATGACGGGCCGGCCGGCAGGGAAAGCCAGAGCCCGGGCTTAGCCCGTCCCTCCCCTCTCTGCTCCCTCCATGTACTTTCAAGCCCACGTGGTAGCTGAACTTATGCAGTGACTCAGCACTCTAAGCATGTGTATTCCAAGAGGACTTTTGGAAGCTAGGCTTCTTAGGACTTAGCCTCGCAAGTTCCAGATCATTCTGCCATATTCTGCTGCTCAGGTAGGTCATCGGGACCAGCCCAAATTCAAGGAGAGGCAAAGACTCCTCCTCTCAAAAAAAAAAAAAAAGGCCATTTTCCAATCTACCACTCTGATTCAATCCTCTTGTCACACACCTGTGTCCTTCGTATACTTCTGTTACTCTTTAAACAGAGCTCATAGAACGAGTGTTTTCCTACAGAGAAACTTGCGTTTGCACGGGCCAGGAGTTGATCTCAACCAGAGAGGCCTTGGCTTCCTCTCTCCGCAGTAAACACAGGCAGAGGGCGTGCAAGCCTGTTACAGTTCCTGTGCAGACAACACACCCACATCGCCAGCTCACCTGTCAACAGGCCCAAGGCCGACCCTGTGAGAGACCCTGGCTCTAAGATGTAGCCCCTCCGTAGCCCAGGGGGTCTGCAGTCTGGAGAAGTGAGCAGTGCACGCAGAACAGCTGCACGTGTCCAGCTGCAGAGTATCCGAGTTGACTGGGAGGAGGGCAGCAACGTGCAGGGACTGAGTCTGAGAACGCGCCTTGGACGGGAACTTCATCGACAGGCAGAGCAGACAGGAGGGAGGCGGAGCCATAATGCCTACCACGTTCTCAGCCACCTCAGCACAGAAGCAAACCACAGCCCTGGGCCTGGAGAGACCCAGTGGGCAAGACGGGTGACGACACGGGCAGGGGAACTGGAGGAAGAAGGCGCAATCCCAAAAGGCACAGCACTAAAGGAAAAGCAAGGCTCTGGGATGAGATCAAGTTTCATTTGTAAAAGAAACTGTATATTTTTTTTTTCATTTCAGAAATTTAAAGAAAAGTGGCTCATAGTCTCCCTGTCTAGCTAACCTCTGTAGATAATTTTTTTTTTAAATGGGATATGAGGTCTGGAGCCAGGTCATACTGGCCCTCTGTTATTATTTCTTAGAGATGTATTTATTTGTTTGAAAGGCAGAATTACACAGAGAAGAAAGAGAAAGAGATCTTCTATCTGCTGGTTCACTCCCCAAATGGCCACAAAGGCCAGGCTGGGCCAGACCAAAGCCAAGAGGCTGTAACTCCATCAGGGTCTCTCATGTATGTGACAAGGGCACAAGTACTTTAGGTCATCTTCCACTGCTTTCTCAGGGGCATTAGCAGGGTCTCAATCAGAAGTGGAGCAGCCAGGACTCGAACTAGTGTCCATATGGGATGCTGGCATTGCAGGTAGAAGCTTAACCTACTGTGTCACAACACCAGCCGCAATACTTTTTTAAAAATAACTAAAGGGGCTGGCACTGTGGCATAGCATGTAAAGCTGCCTCCTGTAGTGCCGGCATCCCATATGGGCCTCAGTTCAAGTCCAGGCTCCTTCACTTCCAATCCAGCTCTCTGCTATGGCCTGGGAAAGCAGAAGATGGCCCAAGTCCTTGGGCCCCTGCACCCACACAGGAGACCTGGAAGAAGCTACTAGCTTCTGGCTTCAGATTGGCACAGCTCTGGCCACTGTGGCCAACTGGGGAGTGAACCAGGGGATGGAAGACCTCTCTCTCTGCCTCTCCTTCTCTCTCTGTGTAACTCTGACTTTCAAATCAATAAATCTTAAAAAAAATAATTTAAAAGTATAAGTTTAGTTGGGGCCAGTGCCATGGCATACTGAGTATGCCACTACCTGTGGGACTGACATCCCTTATGGGTGCTGGTTCTAATCCTGGTTGCTCCACTTCTTTTTTTTTTTTTTTTTTTTTTGACAGGCAGAGTGGATAGTGAGAGAGAGAGACAGACAGAAAGGTCTTCCTTTGCCGTTGGTTCACCCTCCAATGGCCGCCGCGGCCAGCGCGCTGCGGCCGGCGCACCGCGCTGATCCGATGGCAGGAGCCAGGAGCCAGGTGCTTTTCCTGGTCTCCCATGGGGTGCAGGGCCCAAGCACCTGGGCCATCCTCCACTGCACTCCCTGGCCACAGCAGAGGGCTGGCCTGGAAGAGGGGCAACCGGGACAGAATCCGGCGCCCCAACCGGGACTAGAACCCGGTGTGCCGGCGCCGCTAGGCGGAGGATTAGCCTAGTGAGCCGCGGCGCCGGCCATGCTCCACTTCTGATCCAGCTCTCTACTAATGCACCTGGGAAAGCAGCAGAAGATGGCCCAAGTGCTTCAGCTCCTGCAACCACGTGGGAGACCCAGAAGAAACTCCTGGCTTCTGATTTCAGATCCCTCTGGCTCCAACCATTGCAGCCATTTGGGGAGTGAAATCAGTGGATGGAAGAACTCTCTCTCTCTCTCTCTAACTCTGCCTTTTAAATAAATAAATAAATCTTAAAAAAAAAAAAAGTATGAAGTTAGAAAACTATTAAGCACAAAATAAACAAACAAACAAAAGAAAATTAACAGCTTTTCCACCTTGATTTGCAAAAGAATAAAGCTTTAAGTTTTTTTTAGGCAAGTACACAAATGGGGTGCATCTGGCCTAGGGGATAAGACATCATTTTGGGATGCACACATCCCATATCAGGGTGTCTGCGTCCAAATACTGGCTCCACTCCTGATTCCAGCTTCCTGCTAATGGGAGAGAGCCAGTAATGGCTCAAGTACTTGGGTCCCTGCTACCTACAAGAGAGACTGTGTACTATCCACAAGAGAGACTGTGTACTACCCACATGGTTCACTCCCCAGTTGGCCGCAACGGCTGGAACTGCGCTGATCCGAAGCCAGAAGCCAGGAGCTTCTTCCGGGTCTCCCACACGGGTGCAGGGGCCCAAGGACTTGGGCCATCTTCTACTGCTTTCCCAGGTCATAGCAGAGAGCAGCTGGGACTAGAACCGGCACCCATATGGGATGCCAGTGCTTCAGGCCAGGGCGTTAACCCACTGCGCCACAGCGCCGGCCCCAGTGATTCTTTTTAATAGGAGATGGGACAGTGACTTGAGTCACAGTAATTTCATTTTAAGATGAGAGGTGAGCAAACAGCAGACAGAGCAGCTGAGATGACTGATGGACCAGAGTCTTCCAGGAGCAGACACCCCTCCCCCAGGCCAGAGGGAAGGAGGGAGAAAGCAGGAAAAGAAAAAGCTGTGGAATGGGAGCAGGAACGGCCGAGGACCCAGAATACACAAGGCCCAGCAGAGATGAGGTAGGGCAGCGCACGTTAGGATGGGTCCAGTGACGGCGCTGCTGGTGAAGCGGTCCAGCCCGCCTGCCAGGAGACTGAAGTGCTTCCTGGCGTGCATCACAGGCTGAACTGTGAAACCACGGATCCTCGACCATCCTGCCTACACAGACAGTTCCACACGGTACCACCTAGTTGTTGACTTGACTCGCAACTTGACAGCGGGAGACGTGAGAGGACCCACAGTGACCCACAGGGCAGGGCTCTCCAGGGGACAGGACTGGGAAAAGGAGAAACTCTCCTGTGATCAGAAAAAGAAGGGTAACCACAACCAGCTGTGAGTATGGCAGTGAGTTTCCTTTAATCAAAGACAACTATGACAAATTCATTAACTATCAAAAGCTACATGTTACAAAAAACAATCTTCCTTTAAAAATGTGTAATCATACAATATATACAATACATGCTACTTTCCTTTTTGGATTTCACCATCCATTGGAGTCCTAAAAAGAGGGGATGGGGGAATAACTGGTTAACAGTTGATAAATGATCGCTCCAAGTTCACACAATATACATAAATAAAATTTAACAAGTAACCCTCCCTTGGTGAGTAGTGCCCAGAGTAATCCACTTTGTACATCTTATATCTGTCTCTTTAAAAATCCTCAAAATATGTTCTCACAGAAATAAATTAGAACCAAATTTCAATTAATTGATGCACATTTTAAGAGATTACACTAAATACCTTTAAAAACACTTTATTTATCAGAAATCACATAAAATTTGAGCTAGAAGAAAATTAGCAATTACTTAGTTCATCCTCCCCGTCCCCCCACCCACCCCCATTCACAGACACACACAGGTAAGGACGGGCACTGAGTGAGACCCGGTGACCTGAGGTAAGGACAGGCACTGAGTGAGACCCGGTGACCTGAGGTAAGGACAGGCACTGAGTGGGACCGGGTGACCTGAGGTAAGGACAGGCACTGAGTGGGACCGGGTGACCTGAGGTAAGGACAGGCGCCGAGTGGGACCAAGTGACCTGAGGTGAGGACAGGCGCCGAGTGGGACCGGGCGACCTGAGGTAAGGACAGGCGCCGAGTGAGACCAAGTGACCTGAGGTAAGGACAGGCGCCGAGTGGGACCGGGCGACCTGAGGTAAGGACAGGCGCCGAGTGAGACCAAGTGACCTGAGGTAAGGACAGGCGCCGAGTGGGACCGGGCGACCTGAGGTAAGGACAGGCACCGAGTGAGACCAAGTGAACTGAGGTAAGGACAGGCGCCGAGTGGGACCGGGCGACCTGAGGTGAGGACAGGCGCCGAGTGGGACCGGGCGACCTGAGGTGAGGACAGGCGCTGAGTGAGACCGAGTGACCTGAGGTGAGGACAGGCGCCGAGTGAGACCAAGTGACCTGAGGTGAGGACAGGTGCCGAGTGAGACCCGGTGACCTGAGGTAAGGACAGGCGCTGAGTGAGATCCGGTGACCTGAGGTAAGGACAGGCGCCGAGTGGGACCCGGTGACCTGAGGTGAGGACAGGCGGTGAGTGAGACCGAGTGACCTGAGGTAAGGACAGGCGCCGAGTGAGACCCGGTGACCTGAGGTGAGGACAGGCGCTGAGTGGGACCGGGTGACCTGAGGTGAGGACAGGTGCTGAGTGAGACCTGGTGACCTGAGGTGAGGACAGGCGCTGAGTGGGACCGGGTGACCTGAGGTGAGGACAGGTGCTGAGTGGGACCAGGTGACATGCCAGAGATCTTAAAGTGGGGACAGAACCACAGAACCTCTTCCACTGCCCATCCACAGCTACCGGCAGTACAGAATGAGCACGACTAAGCGTTCTTTCAAAAAAAATATTCTCCGTCATCAAAATGAGGATTTCACAGCACAACTCCCATTTCAGAAACTCCCATTCAGGGCCGGCACTGTGGTGTAGAAGGCTAAGCCTCCCCCTGCAGTGTCAGCATCCCATGTGGGCACTGGTTCAAGTCCCAGCTGCTCCACTTCTGATCCAGCTCCCTTCTAATGCACCTGGGAAAGCAGCAGAAAATGGCCCAAGCCCTAGGGCCCCTGCATGCACATGGGAGACCAGGAAGAAGCTCCTGGTTCCTGGCTTTGGCCTGGCCGAGCCACAGCCATTGCAGCCATTTGGGGAGTGAACCAGCGGGTGGAAGATACCTCTCTCTGCTTTTCAAATAAAATAAATCTTTTAAAAAAACCTGAGTGGATTTCATTTAAAAAAAAGAAATGCCCATTTAGCAACGTCACCCTGAGGCAGCTCTGTCCTCGCCCTTTTCTGCTTTGCACGTGGGAAACAAGCAGATGGTGTGGAGCAGGCAGAATGGGGGTGGGGGGGCGTGACTACTGCCCCGCGTCTCTGAAGAACACCCAGGCGGTCAACCCTGGGACGGGATCTTCCAACCACTGCCTGGCCTCTGTCTTTCTCGCCAGTTAGCACACGTGGGGCCCTGCAGGGAGGCAAAAGCCCAGCTGCCCCAGGGGGAGCTCACCTTCCGCGCCTGTCAAGCACTCTGCTGGCTCTGACTCGAAGCAATCACAGGCTCGGAAATCTCAAACGTCCTCACGATCTCCTGGCAGGAAGCAAGAGCGAGCGTCGGCGCCCTGGGTGCAGAGCAAAGCCAGTGCCAGCTGGCAGCAGCAGAAACACAGCTTACCTCCCAGTCCCGGTAACTCAGAGCTATAATCCCTTGATTCCTGATTTGGGAGTTCTGGTCAATTTCCTCGTTTTCTTCATTATTAACAGGTTCTGTTTGAAAGACAGAATTTTCAAAGGTTATCAAATCGGAAGAGGTAACTGGAACAGAAGCTGATGAGTAATAGGAATGGAGCCTGAACTGAGAAAAACACTTAGGCTATTACACAGTCATTAGGATGCCATGCATTAGTGAGTTGCCATCATACAATTGTAGCTGCGATTCTCTAATTTAAAAAAAAAAACTCATTATCAGGGCCAGCACCGTGGCATAGTAGGCTAAGCCTCCACATGCAGTGCCTGCATCCTGTATGGGCATCGGTTCAGGTCTTGGTTGCTCCTCTTCCAATCCAGCACTCTGCTATGGCCTGGCAAAGCAGTGGAAGATGGCCCAAGCTCTTGGGCCCCTGCACTCATGTGGGAGACCCAGAAGAAGCTTCTGGCTCCTGGCTTCAGACTTGCCCAGCTCCAGCCATGGCAGCCATCTGGGGAGTGAACTAGCAGATGGAAGAACTCTCTCTTTGTCTCTCTCTTTCTCTGTAACCCTACCTCTCAAATAAACAAATAAAAAAATCCTTTAAAAAAAAAAAAAGACAAGCTACAAACAGTGACTGCAATCACAAACTTTGTATATTAGCATTTGAGGGGAGTTGCATCATTTTGTGGCTAATCTTACAGCAGTGGCAGACACTGAATCAATGACACAGGTAAATCCACAGCAATTCTAAACTTTGCTCCTGTTTCCAGTATGTTCAGCCACAGAACATACAACACTCTAAGTTTGCTACCTACAATGAAAACTCATTCACAATTAGGAAGATGAAGCTCATAAACTCTTGTAATAAACAACTTTTTCTCCAAAACGAATTTCCCAAAGAGTATCATTTACCTATTATTGGCAGTCGGTCTTGGTCAAGTCTTATTCTTGCAAAACCATCCTAAAACAAACACATGCTTTTAGGAGCTGGGCAATATTTAGACTCAAACTTGCAAGCACTGGATGAAGTAAGTGACTGAGCAATTCTGCATCTCAGATCATCAATATGTCCCGTAAACAATGAGGAGCAGCTGCAGGCCAGCGTCCCCTGACAGGGCCTCTCAGGGTCTAACTAGCACCGACCCAAACCCAGCCTCCGTCCCGCCTCTGTAGCTCCCTGACACACAGTTTGGAACAACCCCGCATTGTGTTGTGCATAATTCTATCACTGAGACCATGAACGGCCAATGTTTTGGTCAATACAAGTATAAGGTTAAAATCAAATTCATCTCACATGTGTAGGATGCAGGCTGATGTAAAACCAACGACTGTAAAAAGCACATTTCCACAGTACAGTTCTGAGTGCAATATAGTCTTTAAACCTATTTTGAAACTTTTGAATTTCAAGAGCTACAAGACTACTTTGAAGGGGCCCAGTGTTTGGCACAGCGGGTTAAGTCGCTGTCTGCAACTCCGGCATCCCACATGGGCAACTGCTCTCCTCCTGACCCTGCCTTCCGCTGATATGCCTGGGAAAGCAGCAGAAGATGGGCCAGGGGCTCGGGCTCCTGCTTCCCCTGGGAGAGACCTGGATGAAGCTCCTGGCTTCGGGGTGGTCCAGCCCCAGGGAATTGTGGCCATTTGGGAAGTGAATCAGTGGATGGAAAATCCCTCTTTCTTTCTCTCGCTCGCTCGCTCACCAGCTAGCTATCTGTAACTCTGCCTTTCAAACAGAAACATACATACATACATGCATACATAAAAAGACTGTAAAGAGCTCCCATGCTCCTTAACTCATATCCACTTAGCTTTGGTACATGTACTTCACCACTCTCTTAGCTCTGTTGTATTATTTGAAGACCACATACAGTCTGCCTCCTCTCCCTAATCCTTCAATGTCGATTTCTTGAAAATAAGAATATTCTCTCATATAACATTTACCATACTGATGTCAAGTCTATAGTTCCATACTTAAATTTTGCCAATACTTTCGCTAAACTCAGGTTGACTACCCCTAACCTGAAAGGCTTAACACTAGAATGTGTTCTATTTCCCACATTCTGGAGCATGTGCGTATACATGATGAGGCATCTTGGGGATGTGAACCACATCTAAATACTCATTCATTTATGTTTCACATGCACCTTAAACACATAGCCTGAAGGTAATCTGATACGGTATCTCAAACGTTTCTAGACACCATGAGGCAAAGCTTCCTTGTGTGGAATCTTCCACGAGTGCCATCAAGTCTGCACTGACGTTTAGATTTGGGAGCATTTCAGATTTCCAAATTAGGGATTCTCAGCCTTTATCTATAAAATATAAAAGCCAGCACACAGATTGTTAGCCACATTCTTCTAATCTGCCAATGAATGCTTCGCTGCACTGAGTCCACGCTAAATGCTGGTTAGCACGGATCCCGCCGCTAGTTGCCATCTTTCACTTTCACCGTGCAGCCTTGTAGAGGCGTAAAGAAGGGCCGGCGCTGTGTTACAGCAGGTAAAGCACCTCCTGTAGTGCTGGCATCGCATATGGACGCTGGTTCTAGTCCCGGCTGCTCCACTTCCGATCCAGCTCTCTGCCACGGTCTAGGAAAGCAGCTGAAGATGGCCCAAATCCTTGGGCCCCTGCACCCACATGGGAGACCCAGAAGAAGCTCCTGGTTCCTGGCTTTGGATGGGTCCATTGTGGCCATCTGGGGAGTGAACCAGCGGATGGAAGACCTCTCTCTCTTTCTCTCTGCCTCTGTCTTTCAAATAAATAAATCTTTAAAAAAAAAAAAAAAGAAGCAATTAGAGAACCCTAAATCTTACCCGTATAATGAAGGAAACATGAAAGATGTTTTCTACCGTCCGGGGGAAAGAATGTGGATCAACCACAAAGTCAAAGAAGGACATTGGAGTGTCAGCTACAAACAAATGAGAAAAAAAATTCTTCAACACAGGAAAAACAATTTTTGCTCATCAGCAAGACCAATGTTCCCTAGCACGAGCCAAAGACACCAAAGAGATGAGCACGCTTCCTGCTGTGGGGTGCCAATCAGTACAGCTCTCAGAAGGTCAACATGGTATCTCTGTTAAAAAGAGGGGTACCTACCGACCTGCAGCCCTCGAACAGGCTGTCCTACTGCGCACAAAGCGACACCCCACGACGTGCCACTGCAGCGGCGGAGCCACTGATACGCTGATACCCAGAAATTACTCGTCCACTCAGAGAGCTCGGTTAGGGCACCTGTGACAGAGGCACAGCAGGGGGACCACTGGACAGATCAAGGAAGCTGTCCACGGACTGCAGGGAAGTGCACGTGTAAGAGCCACATGGCAGAAGAATGCATGTTTTAGGGTTAGCTTGTGGAAAAGCAAAAAAACCCACAAACGGAAGGAAACAATCTGAAATACACACGTGTTTTACAAGCAGCTTCCTCTGGGGAGTGAGAGGAGGCAGTAGAACAGGCACTTGACTTTGTTATTTGTCTCACTTTATGACACATTTTATTTTGTAACAGAAAAAAATCCTATCTTTTAAAGATAAAAATGAACAATTCACCAATGTTCTCACATGGGAATTCTATAAAAGAGAAGCCTCATTAGATACGTATGCAGAGAGGGGCACAGCAGGTAGCACTGTGGTACAGTAGGTTAAGCCACCACCTACAATGCCAGCATCCCATATGGGCACTGGTCCCAGCTACTTTAGTTCTGATCCAACTCCCTGCTAATGTGCTCGGGAAAACAGAATATGGCCCAAATGTCTGGGCCCCTGCCACCCACGTGTAGACCCAGATGGCGTTCTAGGCTCCTGGCTTCAGCCTGGCCCAGCCCCAAGCCATTGCAGCCGTTTAGAGATCGAACCAGCAGATGGAAGATCTCTGTCTCTTCATCTCTAACTCTGCCTTTCAAATAAATAAAATAAATCTTTAATAAACACATATGCCAAGAAAGAACCAAAATGATTCAAACATTATACAGAACTGCAAAAAATGCCTTTTAAATAAAAATAGTCTCACTGGAAGTGACCCATCTGACCAACACAAGCTGCTCCACTTTCCATACGGTGCCATACTCACGATCTTCTCGAAAATATGTCTGCAACAGTCCCAGGATTCGCTCCACTTCTTTTTCTGTTGCTTCTTGATGAGATTCTTCCATTCTTTTTAACTGGAAAAACAAAAAACACACACAAGTCATTACCAAGCTGAGTCATTACCAAGCTGAGAAACTCACCTGCCAGTTAATAACCTTCTCCCTCTTGCTGGCCCAGACTCCTCTGAGTGTCTTTTCTTGGAGACTGCTAGCAGTCTTCATCCCCATCTTGAACGTTACCGTTCAAGAGAACATTTTCTAGTCTTAGCCACATTTTCAAATGGAGGCGGGGACTTCAAAAATTTCAAAGAAAATGGAATTAAAATCTTAGTTAACTTTGTCGCAAAAACATTTTTTTGAAATCCATGTGTAGTTTTTTCACACTACACCTTTTCCAGGAACTGTCTGAAGACTATTTGCGTTATTTCTTAACAGAAGAGTAACAGTACCCAACCAGCCATCTGCAGGTTGAACATAAAACAGCAAACTCCAAAAGGGAAGTTCTGCAGCAGGGGATCTCAGTGGGGCGTGACTTTGACTGCCCCTCCCGCACCCCCAGGGAACATCTGGCTAAGCACCAGGCAGCATTTTTGGTTGGCACAGGCACGAGGAGGATTGTTGTCGGCACTTACATCCTACAGTGCCCGGGACGGCTCCCTGCAACAAGGAATTACCCAGCCTAATGGTGCTGGGGTTGACAAAGCCTCGTTCAGAAGAACCAGTGAAAACTACAGAAATGAATCAAGGGCAAGTGGCCAACCCAATAAAATGTGCAAAGGCTTCAATGACTATTTATGCAACAGACACTAAGTCCTGCCTGAAAAGCTTCAAAGAGATGGCCAACTGCATGTGCGTTATGTCGGGGGCTATCTTCACTTGCAGCGTTTGAGAAAGTTAACTTTAGGAGAACAAACCTCGGCAGGCATCGCTCGCTGCTCTTCTATCATGCGAACTTTCCTTGGACGATCGACGCGCGGCTTTGGCACAGGGCACTCTCCTTGTATTGAACCCAACCTAATGAGAAACATGCTTTCATGTCTTTGTTTGCCTTTTCAGGAAGCTAATTCCACTAACTAAGAGCCTGGTGCAGCCACGTTCAGACCAGCATGGGTGCCGTGCGGGCTGATGGCAGACCTTCCTTCTCGGTGAGCTTCGTGACACCCTTTCTGGTCCCTAGGAGCTTTGCTCAAACACAAACACCTGCTCTCTGTACAGCAAGCCTGCGACCGTGCCTGGGACGTCTCCCGCTGGCCTGGAGTCTCTGTTCTAGCCCATTTCTGAGATGAGGGCGAGGAAGGGGGTGGGGAAGGAGTGGGCAGCTCCAGGGGTCGAAGGCCTTCGATCTAGAGGCACCAGGGCAGAGGCTCAGAGCCCAGGGCTGAGACCACGCCTGCCGGGGTAATGGGCCAAGCAGAGGCCATGAGCCTTTTTCCTTTTGCACTCTCTCCACCTTCCTCCTGGCCAAAAGCCCCAAGGCAGACTCGGGCTACGTGCAGTGCGAGATGCATCGTGCAGAGATCAAGGCCCCAAGACTATGGACCCAGGGCTATGTTTAATATATGTATTTACATAACATATATTCATAGGACATAAATATTACATGTGTACAGATTTCATCTCCATACACTTGAGATGAAAGCACAGGTGTAGCTGGACAGACATTCATGCACACAGATCCACTTCTACAGAATACGGCAGTTCCTGGAGTGCCAGAACAGAGCCCGGCTCAAGTCAGTGACAGCGTCCAGGCAGACAGAGGAAAGACCCTGCTGGGAAACCTGATCCTACACTGCTAAGACCACTGCCGAAGAAGGTCCTGGGGGCTTCTCAGGGGCGGCTTTGGGCTAAGCAAACCTCACCAGAGGGAGAGGACATTGGAGACTGAGTGACAAGCGAGTACAAGGCCACACTCAGAACTGCCCCGTGGCGAGAAGCGGGGCTGGGGGCTGAGATGAAGCTTAAGGCTCCATGTTTAGATCCCAGGATTCACGACAGACCTCAACACTCAACGGCAAAATAACAAAGACCTGGATTTTTATCCTAAGGAGGTCTGGTCATTTTCTTGTAATATCTGCAACGGCTCTCAGCCCGAGTGACCTAAGGCTGGACAGGAACGGAGGCCTGGCCCACACCACAGCCCTGCCACTTCCACAGAAGCCTGCCCAGGGAGACACCACGCGTCTCAGGAAGTTTACAGAGGCCGATCAGGACAGACAAACGTCCAGGAGGTGGACTGTTACGGAGGAAAGGACGGAAACAAGAGGGACAGTTTCCTCTGAACGAAGCATCTACTGGGAACTGCAGGCTGCCTTACACAAAACCACCAAGGGAGCTGGTTTTGGTTCCGCCAGGGGTCTCCCAGCTAGGAAGACAGAAGAAAATTTCACGTGACTACCAAGAAAAACTTGTCTTAAAACCAGGGCCGTATCCAAAAACAGAGCTGGGCAGTGTATGTTCGGACAAGGGCTTGAGTAGTCTTCACATATAGGTGAGTGACCGCCCAATGGGACGCCTGACGCCAGCCTCAGCAGGTGCACCTGCGTCCTCCTGCCCCAAGATCTCAAAGACACTCAAACAAGGATGGTAAGCCAGGACGCGGGATCCTTTAGCTTCCTCTCCCTGTGGAGAGTTTATGGGCTTTGCAATCAAAGTGTAGGAAGGCGCCGAGCACTGGCATCAGGGTTGTCACCACCACCCTACCAAATCATCTTTGTCCCTACGAGAAAAAACAGCGTAAGCTTTACAAATGGCTGGTCTGTCGGATTTTTAAAATAATCTTACAGAAAGTGGAATGTATGGGTTTTATTAAAGGTGTTTTCTGCTGTTTTGCCTGATATTTTCCAGGAGTCATAGACTATGAATTCAAAATCAGAACTATCTTCATCACGGATGAGTTCTTCAGCTTCTAGTGGATTTACACCCATATGTGTCAGCTACAAAAAATGAAGGAAGACAAAAAAACCCCAGTTAAGCCGCGAGCAATCATTCACCACATTCAACAATCTGCATCACTAACCCTTCCAGTGCCAGAGGCGAAGGCTATTTTCGGGGTCCTGCTCGGCTGCCCAGATTTCTCCTCCTACACGGCATCTCACACAGAAACGCCTGTTTTCCAAGGTCTCTTCTTTTTGGCAGAAAATACTCTCCCGTGCACTGAGAGCTTTTCTTTAGGTGGGAAGCGACATGACTCAGACCCAGAACTAGGCCCCCTGGGGACGCCTGCATCCCAGGCTGTCCCGGGCTCAGGCCAGCTCAGGCCAGCTCGACCAGCATAAACCTACAGAAGCTCCAGGACAGAGCCGGGGGTGGAGCTGGCTTTCAGACCTTAGGTTTCAGCCAGCCTCCCACCTGCTTAGCATCAGCAAGAGCTCAGCTCGCTTTAAAAGTACCTTCCAGGGCAGGACTGGTGAAGTTAAACAATTCTACCTTCCAGAAAATGCATTGTACTGAATTTACTTTTATGAAAGGACACATTTATTACATTATACTGTAAAGTACCTAGGAGTTACCAAGTCACGATGGCCGTATCATATAGAAACCATAATCACTAGGCCCCGGGAACATAACCCTATTGAAGACAACCAAACTGAAGAGGAGAAAGGCAACCAGAGCCTGGTCAGAGGGCCCGGTCAGCGCTGCTCTACCCTTGCCCGCCGCTCCTAGCACGGTACCCTCATAGCAAGACATTTGACCCGTCATTCACTTAAGGTTTTGCAAGTAATACTTTAGGACTTCAGGAATTTATTTTTGAGAGCTTTATCTCATAAACAGTAATTTTTTTAATTAATTAATTTATTTATTTTTGACAGGCAGAGTGGACAGTGAGAGAGAGAGACAGAGAGAAAGGTCTTCCTTTGCCGTTGGTTCACCCTCCAATGGCCGCCGCGGCCACCGCGCTGATCCGAAGCCAGGAGCCAGGTGCTTCTCCTGGTCTCCCATGGGGTGCAGGGCCCAAGGACTTGGGCCATCCTCCACTGCACTCCCTGGCCACAGCAGAGAGCTGGCCTGGAGGAGGGGCAACCGGGACAGAATCCGGCGCCCTGACCAGGACTAGAACCTGGTGTGCTGGTGCCGCAAGGCGGAGGATTAGCCTAGTGAGCCGCGGCGCTGGCCATAAACAGTAATTTTTAAAAATACCCAATATACAGCCACTCCGATGAGTGTGCATTTTCCTAAATGTGTTTCACTTCACAAATTTTTTTTAATTTAAGGTTTTAAAAACTACAAATTGCAGGCCGGCGCCGCGGCTCACTAGGCTAATCCTCCGCCTTGCGGCGCCGGCACACCGGGTTCTAGTCCCGGTTGGGGCGCCGGATTCTGTCCCGGTTGCCCCTCTTCCAGGCCAGCTCTCTGCTGTGGCCAGGGAGTGCAGTGGAGGATGGCCCAGGTGCTTGGGCCCTGCACCCCATGGGAGACCAGGAAGAGCACCTGGCTCCTGGCTCCTGCCATCGGATCAGCGCGGTGCGCCGGCTGCAGCGGCGGCCATTGGAGGGTGAACCAACGGCAAAGGAAGACCTTTCTCTCTGTCTCTCTCTCTCACTGTCCACCCTGCCTGTCAAAAAAAAAAAAAAAAACTACAAATTGCAAACTGTCTGCCTCATGCCTCTACACATGCTTTATCGGGTTGAGACATCACAGCACTAAATCTGTTCAGTACCACGTGACACAACGACAGAAATTCAGTGTTTGAATCAAGGTGCCAGGACAGAGGCTGCCTCGGAGCAGAATCAGAAACAGACAAGGGGGCAGGGCTGGCTCAGCGGTGAGATGCCACTCGGGACATCCACACCCGGTATCAGGGCACCTGGGTGTGAGTCCCTGCTCTGCTTCCAGGTCTGGCTCCTGATCGCGGGCAGCCTATGGGGCAGCCAGCAAGTGACGGCTCAAGTATTTAGGTCCCTGCCACCCACATGGGAGACCTGGATTAAGTCCCAGGCTCCTCGCTTGGGTCTGGACCAACTCTGATATTTATAGAGCAAACCAGCAGAAGGAAGATCTGTCTCTATACATGTATCTCTCTCTCTCTCTGCCTCTCTCTCTCTCTTTTTTTTAATATGGTAAGATACAAGGTCAGTCTCTTTTTTTGGTAAATCCACCAAGGAAAAGTTATAAAATTTCAAGTAACAAGCATTCAAGCTTCAAAGACAAAGAAGGATGAATAAAACCGTATTTGTGCGGTTCTGAAATATTCTCAAAGACAGAACATCCCCCTTCTCCAGGCTTCTGCGCAGCCCAGCACAAAGGTTCCAGGTCACTGAGAATGACCCAGAACACTTATGAACTAAAAAACGGTCATTTGTAAATATCTGTAACACTCCAGAGTCTTAAACCAGAATGCAGAGATGCTCAGACCGCTCTAAGCGCCCACCCAATCCTGCACCACATAGCTCTGCTTCCCTCATTTAATCCGATCTTTTCAGGGGAACCTGAGGCCCAAAAAGCAGGATTTGGGGAGGCAAAGGAAATGAAGTAGAACAACTTGCCTATTAACATAAGCAAAGTGGATCATTATACAGCACGTGACCGATCAGACATTTCTTGGGAAGACAGAGTAGCCGTGCACTTACTAGAGTCTCGACGTATCGTAACATGTCGAACGAGCTCAGATCCGAGCGCAGCTGCTTCGCTTTCTCTTTGCCCAAGTCCGAAGCCAGAACAAGAAAATGAGCATCAAGGACTGCTTCTCTTGCCCGGGACACTACCCGACGAAGGAGGAAGACAGACACGTTACAGAACCCGCAGGATCCACGCCGAGATCTGCCCTAAGTTTCCCACCCCTTAAATCAGGATCTCCCACTGGACCAAAGTCTCAAGGGCTGAAAAGTGGCCTAAAACTGGCTCCCGTGCTCAGCCCCCAGTTTCCAGCGCAGGCTGCCAGTCTTCACAAACCCCAGCCTGCTGCCTGCTGTCCACACCCCGGCAGCTGCCCTGCAACCTCACGGCCAGCTGACGAAGACGTGCACACACCTCTCACACTCGCTTTTCCCTCGGACTCAGCTAACCCATTCCAATCAGCGTTGCCCGTGCTGAGGCCCAGTGCGTGTGCGACGCCAGCACAGTCAGGGAGGCCCAAGTGGATGTGTGGGTACGTATGGGGCAGGCATCCTGCACACGGCAGCACAGCTAACCCCAAACCAGCAGCCCACGGGCAGGAGGGAGTGACCCGAGGACAGACGCTCAAGAAGGGTTTAGGGTCCGCTATGGACGAAGCTCGGAGGGGAATGGGGCAGGCAAGCTGGATGCTCAAGGGGAGGTGGCCCTGGCTCAACCGGGCTCAGAGAGGGCAAGAGCCTGAGAGACAGCCCTGTGGGCACCCCTGCAAAGGGGGGTGCTAAAGGGAGCCAGGAAGAGAGCCAACAGGGGAACCCAGAAACACACATATAATACAAACACACAAATGCCAGCGCAGGGCTGCCTCCAAGGCTCACAGAAGCAGCCCCGAGGTGGCCGGAGAGCCTGCCGCCTCCAGTCTGCGCCTTCATCCGTCACCTCGGGAAAGTCCCTGGGGGAGTGGCCACGGGAGGAACATGGTGGACGCGGGTGCTGCACCAGGGGGCTCTAGCCCAGCTCTCCCCCCGCCCATCAGCCACATGGCGCTCATGGCCAATGTCAGCTCAGGGGAGACGTCTCGGTCACTAGGGAACTGAGACCCACAGACGCCAAGCGGTCAGAATTCTGCAGGCTGAGCGACTCCCAGGGCCCAGCTGAGTGAATCACTTTGCCTTCAACGTGTTGCTTGGAACAGCAGAAACAGCTGAGCAGGGGGAGGGTTGTGGACAAAGCTGGTAAGACGCGCTGCACAGGCCAAGGCAGCGAACAGCTGAGCATTAACAGGCAGGAGCTGGACAGCGGTCCAGGCTGGGGAGGGAAGGCAAGGCTGAGGGTGGGGTTTAAGCAGGCGCAGGCGGAGAGAAAGGCTTAGTTCCTGAAGGCTGTGATGAGATTTACCCAACACGACCCAGCAACCGTGGAGAAAAGGGTTCGTCGAGGAACCGTGGCCATCCCAGGAAACGACTAGAAATAAACACCCGTCCTGGGAGACCATGAGGAGCTGTGGTGCCATGGATTCCTCTTTTCCACTCTGCCTGTCCGCCATCTGCCTTCCGCCTGGCACAGACTGGGAGAGGGCCCCAGGGGAGAGCGCTCTGGGTGGCTGTCCCAGGCTCCAACGCACAGCCCCCAGAGAACCCACTGCACCTCTCCCGTGGCTGAACACAGACCACTGCTGCAGCTTCTAGCTCCATCAGGCCTGCTCCCTGTCTCACGGACACTCAGCAGGTGCACCTGCAGGCAGGGACCCCTTAGCAGAGGGACAGGAGGCCCAACAGCAAGGAGCTTGGAGGCGGCCAGGAAAAGAAACAGGCTGGGTTCCGTACTCTAGCCATTCAACAAACGAAGAGGACTTGGACTTGGATCAGGGGTCGGCACCCACCCCTGGGGTTTCACTTGGAGCTCTCAGTTTTAGGCTGGGCAAATGGCAGGTGCACATGAAAGCCCCAAAACTGGGGGAGCTCCATGTAAACGCGGCAGCTGCCTGACGTTAGTACATCGGCTCTGACAGAAAGCCAATTAAAATGACCCTAAGACACAGGAGATGGCAAAGGATCAATCACCTTCATTGAACAGCGTGTTGGCCTCCTCGAGGACCTCTGTTAACTTGTCGCTGGCGTTCAGTATATCCTCCCGGTTTTCTATTCGAGAATAAAAACGCAGTGAGGAGGAGTTGACAGTGTCGCCCCTGCGGCGGCACAGCCGCGACCCCCGCCCCCGGGGGTTTCTCCGAACATCTCTGCAGCCAGGAGAGGCTGCCTCCGACCTGCCCGTGAAGCGCCGGGCGCTCCCCCAGCCCCGGGGAGGGGCCCGAGCACCGGACGGCGCGCGGCGGGGCCCGCAGGCCACCGCACGCAGGGCGAGGAGCAGGCTCCGCGTCGCGCCCGGGCCGCCCCGGCTCTCCGCGGAGCCGCAGCCCGGGTCGGGTCCGGCCGCGCCGGCCACAACACGGGAGCGCGGGCGCCCGCGACCGGGCCGAGCCGGCGCCGCCTGGGCCTGCGCCCGCCGCCGCCCCTCGCCCTCTCCCCGCCCGCGCGGGCCCGCGGCGCCGCCTTACGTTGCACGGAGTTGATGAGCGCCCGGTACTGATGGCGGATCTGGCGGCACAGGCCGTGGTCCGTCTCCGCCTCCAGGCTGGCCGGGTCCATCATCTCGTCCCCGGAGTCCGACGGCTCCGTCTCGTCCAGGCTCGGGCGCTCCGGGGCCTCCCTGCGCTCGGGCGCGGCGCCGCGGCGGGACGCGGGCGACAGCGGGGACCGCGAGCGGGAGCGGGTGCGATCGCGGTGCGGGTCCCGGCCCCGGCCCCGGCCCTCGGGCCGGCGGCCGCTGCTGTCGCCGGACATCGCGCCAATCGGCGGTGCAACTTCGGGACGGCGGAAGTTCGCGCCAGAAACTGAAAGCTCGGCTCGGCGCGAGCGCCCGCTGCCCGCGAACGCGGCTCCCGGCGGCCGCCGAGCGCACAGCGACGCCTGTGGCGGGAGGCCGGCGAGGGCTGGCCGGGCCCAGCGGGGAGCCGCTGCGGCCGCCCGCCGCGTCCCCTCGCTCCCCAGGGCACGGGCGCGCGGGGTCTCGGGGCCTGGGGCAGCCGGCAGCAGCGCTCGCGGACCGAGGGACCCGGGCTCCTGGGCTGCCCGGCCTCCGTGGCCGCGCATCGGCTACCGTCTTTCTGCACATCCGTGCTCTCCACCAAGAGGGGGGAGCCGCTTCCAGTCCCAGCTGCTCCCCTTCCGACCCGCTCCCTGCTGCTGGGCCTGGCAAAGCGGAACCTGGGGCCCCTGCACCCGCTAGGAGGCCAGGTGGAGCGCCAGGCTCCTGGCTCCTGGCGTCTGCAGCCGCTAGGGAGTGAACCAGCTGATGGAAGACCTCTCTCTCTCTCTCTCCCTCTCTCTCTGCCTTTCAAATGTTCTTAAAAACAACAACAACAAAAAAACCTCCTCAAGGGCTCAAGAAGGTATATGCAGAATTAGATCCACAATAGTTTCAAAGATAAAAGTATAAATTCTGACCCATGCATTTTGGGTTGTGTTGCAAATGTTTCCCAAAAGTTCACACAAGCGCTATGATAACTGACAGTGCATCTGATAACCAAGGTAGTTACTAAGCAACTAAAGGAAGGGTAGGGCATACAGTGTGGATACGCCAGGCCAAGGGTTAATTCCACCTCAGGGGGGACAGGGCAGTACAAGATGTCAGCACATTGCTCGGAATGGCATGCAACTTAGAACACTGGAGTTATTTCTGGAATTTTCCACTTGAAATTTTTGAACTACAGTTAACCACAAGAAATCTAAACTGTGGAAAGCAAAACCATGGGTAAGGGGTACAACTGTGCTATAAAATTCTCAGGGAAAAATATAGGTGTTACCCTGTTGACCTTGGACAAGGTGACAATTTCCTAGATATGACACCAAAAGAACTTGCAACTGAAAAAAAATAGCTCCTTTGGAGACCAGGTTTGTGGTCATGAGCTACAGCTGCACGAGGAAATTAATGCAAGTGCCCAGGATGAACAAGAGGAAAGACGTTAGCATCTTAGGCCTGGAGGGTCCCAGGGAAGAAGTGGTGTGAGCAGAAGCCCACAGGGGATAAAGCCAGGAAAGGAGCTATGGCCCTACTGGGATGCAGCCATGCCAGGACCAAGTATAAACAAAGAGAGAGAGAGTGGGGCAGAAATACCCTGACCTGGCTTCCACACTTCTCCCATGGCTGCGGCCAACAAGAAGCCAGAAGACAAGAGAACCTGCATGATGTAGCCTGTCGGTCAGTCGTGGGGCAGAACAGGGCAAGAAAGGTTGAGATGGATATGAGGGGGCATGGGGACAAGTGAGTATTGTGGGTGAATGATACGGTGCAGTCTGTTTAGCTAGGTATAATAGAAACCCCATGAGAGTACACTAGCTAAAATAGTTATCCTTTTCCTTGTGAAACTAGAGGTCTGAAAGTAGGCAGGGAAGGTTTGGTACATTGGTTTAACAGCTCACTCATCTGCCAACCACACATTTTATTTTTTTAAAGGAACAACAACAACTCTTAAGTCAGGATGCCAGGCAAGTCTACAAAGATACTGTGTGGTCCTTGTGCGTACTGAACCCAAGGCAGGCACGAGTCACCCAGTCCCAAACCAGCAGCAAGGGAGGTTGGGAAACAATCTCCTTTTAAAAAAGTATTTACTCTTATGACTTCAATATAGATTATGTGTAACAACCTTATCGTTTTGTTTTTATAGGGGGTTTTCTGTGTGTATAATATACCAGTTATAACACTGTAAATTTTGTGAATATGTATCATGATGTATTCATTAAACTGTTTAACCCAGGTGAAAAAAATTAATTAACTAATCCAAAACTAAAAAATTATTTAATCATTTATTTGAGGGAGGGAGTGAGAGTCCCCTGCTGTCAAGGAGTCCCTCAAAAGATACAATGTTACAGTTCTCTCCCAAACCAAATGGGAAAGCAAATTCTCAGGTGGAAAACAAAATTTCTAATAGTTCTGGAAATGTAACCTCTATGAAGGACAGCAAACTAAAAGTTTCAGATCAGATCAGATCTTATTTGCTGCTAGGAATTTTTTTTAAAAAGATTTATTCATTTATTTAAAAGTCAGAGTTACACAGAGAGAGAAGGAGAGGCAGAGAGAGAGAGGGAGGGAGAGAGAGAGAGAGATCTTCCATCTGTTGGCTCACTCCCCAATTGGCCTCAACGGCCGAAGCTGTGCCGATCCAAAGCCAGGAGCCAGGAGCTTCTTCTGGGTCTCCCATGCGGGTTCAGGGGCCCAAGGACTTGGGCCATCTTCTACTGCTTTCCTAGGCCGTAGCAGAGAGCTGGATCGGAAGTGGAGCAGCCTGGTCTTGAATCAGCGCCCATATGGGATGCTGGCACTGCAGACGGCGGCTTTACCCACTATGCCACAATGCTGGCTCCCAGGATTTTTGACCGTAGCAGACATGTACAGTCCAGCCTGGGCTGAGTAATATCAACAGTGTGTTCATTGTGGCAACTGTCATGAATGTATCACTTGTGATACAAGTCCACAGTCAGCGTGCCTCTGGCTTCCAGGAAACGCTGGACATTCTTAAAAACATTTGTCTGTGCCAGTGATTGCATGCATCCCTTTCTGTGTCTTTCAGTTATTAATAAAATGTTCATTGGGTGCCCACCATGTGCTAAGCAACATGCGAGACGCTGGAGATACTGTATTAAAGACAATGCACAAAGCACTTGCACTCTTGAAGCTTACAGAGTTTGAAGGGTGTCAGACAGTCACTAAGGGAACACAAATGCAAACACAGAATTCCCGCTGGGAAGAAAGCACAAGGTGCGAGGTGAGAACTTTGACCCAGACACCGGAGTCAGTGCCAGATGGGGGCGGGCAGACACAGGTGGGAGGGAGAGGAGCAGACGAGCGTGCCCCAACAGCAAACGGCTCTTGTAACAGACACGGCTCTCCAGGTCGAGTTCTGCACCTGAAGCCATTTCCAACTGGAAAAATTAAAATAAGACTGGGGCCATTGTGTAACATGCTTAACCCCCTCGAAATTAAAAGAGCCCCTAAATTTAAAAATCTTTTTTGAGTCTCTCATGTCAACAAAATGGGATCTGTTAACACAAGCACACCTAGAAAGTACTGGGACCCCAACACCAGAGCCTGCCTCAGTAGCCCTGTGCTTCTCAGAGTTTAATGTGCATTCGCTTCACCTGGGGCTTTGGTTAAAAACACAGATTCTGGCCTGCGCCACGGCTCACTAGGCTCGTCTTCCGCCTGCGGCACCGGCACCCCGGGTTCTAGTCCCGGTTGGGGCGCCAATTCTGTCCCGGTTGCTCCTCTTCCAGTCCAGCTCCCTGCTGTGGCCCGGGAGTGCAGTGGAGGATGGCCCAAGTGCTTGGGCCCTGCACCCCATGGGAGACCAGGAGAAGCACCTGGCTCCTGGCTTTGGATTGGCGCAGCGCCGGCCATAGCAGCCATTTGTGGGGTGAACCAATGGAAGGAAGACCTTTCTCTTTGTCTCTCTCTCTCTCACTGTCTAACTCTGCCTGTCAAAAAAAAAAAAAAAAAAGATAAAAACACAGATTCTGATTCCGTGTTCTGGGGAGGGGCCCCTGGGGCGTTTCTGACAGCCCCTGTGATGCTGGTGCTGCCGACCATGGACTACACTTTCAGCTGTGATACCTGAGGGACACAGAGCAGCTCAAACACGTTTACTCAGCCCAGAAGGCCAGAGGGAGACCCTTTGCTTTATTCCTATCAGTGGGATATAGTTCACATAGTATAAATTCATGCTTTTTAAAATGATTTATTTATTTTTTGAAAGGTAGAGTTAGAGAGGCAGAGGCACAGAGAGAGAGAGAGATAGAGAGAAAGAAAGAGAGATCGTCCATCCGCTGGTTTACTCCCCAAATGCCTGCAACGGCTGGAACTGGGCTGATCTGAAGCCAGGAGCCAGGAGCTTCTTCCTGGTCTCCCACATGGGTGCAGGGGCCTAAGCACTTGGACCTTCTTCCACTGCCTTCCCGGGCCATCAACAAGGAGCTGGATTAGAAATGGAGCAGCCGGGACTTGAACCGCTGCCCATATGGGATGCTGGCATTGTAGGTGATGGCTTTATCCAGTAAGCCATAGTGCTGGCCCCAAAATTCATACTATTCAAGTGTACAATTCTATGGTCTTTATTACACTCCCAAGGTTGTGTAACCGTCATATTTTTAGAAGATTTTTATCGTCCTAGTGGAAAACTCATACCTACTAACAGTCATTCCGCATTCACCCCCAGTCCTCCCCCACCCCTGGCAACCATTTGCCTCTTTTCTGTTTCTATAGGTTCACCTGTCCTGGACATTTCACACAAGTGACAACATACAATACGCTGTCTCTGTGTCTAGGACAGTGTTTCTTTTTTTAAAGATGTATTTCTTTAATTGAAAGGCAGTGTTACAGAGAGGCAGAGGCAGGGGGGTGGGAGAGGGAGAGAGAGAGAGAGATGAGCGATCTTCCATCCGCTGATTCACTCCCCAGATGTCTGCAATGGCCAGGGGTGGGCCCGCAAAGCCAGGAGCCAGGAGCTTCACCCGGGTCTCCCACTTGGGTGCACTTGGGCCATCTTCCACTGCTTTCCAGGCACATTAGCAGGGAGCTGGATCCCACAGCTCCAGTCCCTAGGACAGTGTTTTCAAGGCCTAGCTATGTGCACCTCACTCTTTTTTCTGGCCTCATAATGTTCCCTATGGACATACCACAGTTTGTTTACACATCCATCAATTGGTGTCCATTTGGGCTGTTTCTGAAGTAGACAGGCATGCAGGTTAAAATTGATTAGGTTTGTGAGCTGGAAGACCACACCTTCGCCATGCCCCTGTGTGGCCTAATCCCCCTACCTGGCTACACCTGGGTGCCCACCAGCCAATCAGGTTAATTAACCACTCC